TATTGACCCCCCACAGACGAGGCTGCAGCCGCACCAGCAGCACGACCGTAGAACCGGCTCAGGGCACTGTTCCAACCGGGGCCCCTGCGCTCGGGGCTGAAAAACCCGACTTCGCCACCATCCTCCACTAAGCGACAGGAGCGGGCACCAACTCGGTGAGGTTCTAAGGACGCCTGCGGGGGCGGTAGTGGGACGAAAGCGTATCGTGAACTGGGTTGGGGGGGGGGAAATAAATCGACAGACCTGGAGCCAGTTTGAACATGGCTTCCCACGTGCCCAAGCAAGACTTCACTCCGTCTCCATGACGGGTCTCTACACACACGGCCTTAAGTCGGTGCAGGTCTCTGCCCAAACTTTTTTTTTTCACTCCAAGAATTAAACGAGGGGGTGGGAGGGCATTGCCGCCGCCCCGTACGCTGACTCAGTGAGTCACTAATGGAGGACTGCTCTTCTTACCCACTTAGCCAACGAGATGATGGGCGGGGAAGCCTTAAAACCTGCAAAAGGCACTCTACGAGGCAGGCTAACTCAGCCAGGAATACCTACTTGGGGGAAAACGCGCCCAAAGGACGCGGCCGCCCTTGGGAAGCCCGGGGGTCCCGGGAGAGCGCAGCTCCCGGTTCCCCCGGCCCGAGGTCCGCCTCAGCTACTCCGGCCATTCGCGCGGGGCGGCGGTTGGCGACCGCGGGCGGGCCGTTCTGACTGAGAGAGGGCCGTAAGGACCTGCCGGCGCAGACACCACGCGGAGCCAGAGAGGCGTCCGAGCCTCGGTTGAAGAAACCGCTCTCCGCCAGGACGGAGGCGGAGCAGCAGCTCAGGCTGAGCCAACCGAAGAGCGTTACAAAGCCTGGAGCAGTCCTCGGACAGCCCCACCGCGAGGCACTCTGGGATTTGTAGTTTTTTGTCCTGGACAGCGGTTTTTGCCTGCCTTTTAACGTCGCCTTCATTCTCCCCTCCTCTCCCAGCATGCCGACTTCCTGGTCGCCGCACGACCTCACGTATGACTACACTACCCAGAAGTCTCTTCTTCGCGACCCAGCGCGGCGCGGGCGCCTGTCGTCTCCTTTGGACTACAGTTCCCAGAAGTCCTCTGAAGCGCTCCCCTCTCTCATTTCCAGGACCACAATTCCCAGAGCCTTCAGTTTCACGGCTGTTCTCCTCTTACTCTATGTCTTCTTGAGCTGGCTGGGCTGCGGCCGGCCAGCAGGCGCACAGCGACGACGTGATCCCTCGTGACCGGACACACGGTTTCCACAGCGGCCTGTTTCTCTCCTCACTCAGTTATCCCTTTTACAGGCCGTCGCGGCTGGCCTGAGCGGTGACCTGGCGGGCCGCGCCTGCGCTCTGCCCCGTTTCCTGCCTGGCTGGTGGCGGCGGCCATTTTGTTCATCCTCCTCCTCCTCCTGCTCCTCCTGGTTGGAGCGCAGTGTCCGGAGCAGGCTGGGGGGAGAGAGCCCGAGAGCAGGGTTCGGTGCCTTTTCCTCTGTCCCCAGCTGGTGCCCAGAG